AGCTCAGAGAGGTTAAGAAACCAATCTGGAATCACATAACTGTCAATTGACAGAGCCAAAATGTAATCCATATCTCTGCCTCCAGCCCACATATATACTTTTCCAGATACTACATTGTTTCTCACTTTTCAAGTGGGTGCATTTCAAGGGCTGCAACATCAGCCATCAAACAGACCCCAAGTTCCTACTGCTTGCTCTGATTGCCTCATTACAGAGCAAGACCCGGTAAGAATAATGAGAAGTGGGTAGATTTATCAGAAAGCAGAGTGAGGACTGTCTCCTTTCCCAAGAAGAGGTTAACAGGGCCTGGGGAGGTGGCTCAAGCCGTAGCGCGCTCTCCTGGCATGCGTGCGGCCTGGGTTCGATCCTCAGCACCACATACAAACAAAGATGTTGTGTCTGCCGAGAACTAAAAAAAATAAATAAATATCAAAAAATTCTCTCTCTCTCTCACACACTCTTTCAGTTAAAAAAAAAAAAAAAAAAGAGGTTAACAGTTGACCAGGTTAATAGCTAGCACTCCTAGTTGGTTATGATTAAAGGTGGAAAAGACAGAGTATATTTTTAAATAGAGTAGGGAAGGAAGGTGACTGTGGGATTTCTTTTGCCAAGGAGTGTGCTATGGTTTTTTCTTTTCTTTCTTTCTTTTTTTTTAACAAACCTGGCTCAGAGACAAGATATAATAATACTAATATCCAACACTGATGTGCCAGGCACAGCTCTAAGCACTTACAAGATAGAGCAGTAGTGGGAGATTTCAATTATTCAAACAACAGCTGGAAGTTTAATTTTGCTATAAGTCTAGCATCAGCACAAATCCCGATTTGCCTCACTGACTCATCTCCAGAGTAGGATCTGGCATCTGATGCCTGGGTTTGCATCCTAGCTCTGCTGGGTGTACAGTGGCAAGTTCTGTGGCCTTGAGCAAGCACCTTTGTCCCAGGAGACCTGTCTGTTGAGGGTAGCAATAGTGACTCACACCTTCATTGTGCTCATGGGAGGATTCCAAGGGGTGTTGTAGGTGAAGGGCCAGCCCAGCACCCAAGGAAGCTCTCACCATGCATGAGCTGCTGATGTTACGTCTTCCAAGTAAGGGTGCTGTTTCAACCAACAATGCATAAATTGAGGTGATGTGGAAGTAATGATGACTAAGAGACGACTTCTGGTCTAGGAGAAGATAAGGAAAAGGAGACAATGCTGGGCTCATTTCAAGAGTGTGGAGAAAAGTGTGACTTCATGAACTCTAGCCTAAATTCCTAACTAGGAATATGTGTATGAAGGATAGAAGGGTAGAGGGCATTCCAAAATAAATTTCTAACTAGTCATTAATCATATTGAGAAGAAAAAGGAAAGGAGTTTGCTTTGGGTTTTTAAGTCACTGTGACAACAGCAGGGAGCTCTAGCTGAACCCATCCTCTAAGGGAACTTGTGCACATACACGCAGAAACAGGGTGTGTGCAAGCACCTGGGTGTGACCACACAAAAGCAACTCACATCTCTGAGCCTGGCTCAGGCAAACTTAAGGCCAAGCAGAATGACAGACAATGTTCAAAGCAAAACAACAAAAACGTGGAAAGCAACACTCAATAAGGACTCTGCCGGTATGTAAGAGTTCTGTCTTTTCCAGAGTAGTAGCCCTAAACTAAAAATGAAAGAACAGATGCTGAAGCCCAGTGTAAATCAACAGAGACTTAACTGACCTTGGGAAATACACATACATTTGAATCCAAGTTGCTGGATAATCCTCTAGATGTTATTCAGGGCCCACTTTGGCAATTCTAGAAAATGGAGTTGGTTCTATCTAATGAGAAGCAAATAGACATGTCCCAGTTTTCAAAAATAAGAAAAGGGGATATTCTGGAAACACATGGATTTCATTCCTATCCCTGGCAAGATTCTAGAATATGTAATTAACACAGATATTAGTGTGTTAATATGAGTTCTCTTATTTCTTTCCTTTTAGAGGTCGTAAGGGAGTCATTTAGAAAATCTTATTTGATCTCAGCATAATGTCTTATGCTTTGATGGAAAGAACACTGACTTGAGGTCTGGAGACCTGGATTTTAATCTATTCTACCATTAATTAATTAGATAACCACAGGGAAGTTTCTTTCCCTCACCAGGTCTCATTTATGAAATATGGGACATGTTCTCTTAGGTCCTGCTCACTAAGTTCCTTGATTCCACTGTGTAATGAAAACTGGGCTGGTTAGATACAGTTCAATCAGAATGTGCAGCCCCAGTAGAACAGTCACATTCTAAGGACTGCCCGTGTACCATGAATGGGACCAAGGAAAGAAACTGGTCCCTGGTTTTGCCTTATGTACTCATGTTAATGACTTAATCCCCAAATGATAAGAGAGCTAGGACCAAGGGTCACAAAATGAAGATTTGATTGGACTGGAAGAGTTTGGGACCTTTCAAATTATCCAAATGTCTGGAGGTCTGGAGTTGAGGGGCTGCCTCTGATAAAAGTCAGATGAAATTAATTAACATAAATGCAAAGTTCTATGTCGAAGCTATTTTTTTTAAAAGGCTGCACAACTGGGCATGGTGGCCCACCTCTGTGAGTCCAGCTACTTGCAAGGCTGAGGGAGGAGGATCACAAGTTCAGGTCCAACCTGGGAAATTTAGCAAGACCCTATATCAAAATCAAAATAAAAAAGGCTGGGAGCTTAGCTTAGTGCTAGAGCAGCCCTGGGTTATATCCCCAGCAGCCTCTGCCCCAGGGGAAAAAAACCTATACAAGTGCAACTTAGGGAAGAGCTGGCTTAGAAATAGATCATGGGATAAAGGTTCAGGTGACTGAGATGACTACCCATTTAAACCGAAGGGATGCCATCATCTAGCTGTTAATGAAAGGGCTAGCATAGCTGTCATTGTGGGTAATGATATGGGTAACGGTAGGGGGTAACCCGTATTGAGCTCTTACATGGGCTTTACACATTGTCTCATTTTGGGGACATGACAGTGTCATAGAATTCCAGTCCTGGTCAGGGCTGGTCTCATTGCCGCCTGCCCCATCAGTCCTGTTTTGAGTGTTATTCTCAGTGCTGGGAGTCTTACCAAGTCGGTTGGAAACAAACTGGAGCATGTACAAAATAGGACAGCCAAAATGAGAAAGGGTCTGAAAACCAAGTCTGGCAGGAAAAGGTTAGGAGAGTGGACAGGCTCAATCGGACAGGCTGCACAACTGCTGTGGTGTGGAGGGAGGAGGCAGAAAGGAGTCCTCCAGCTTAGGCTCCGACTGCCTGCTGTCAGATCTGTGTGTTTCCACAGCCATGTGCTGTTGAGCAAGTGACTTAGCTTCTTCTGTGCCTCGGTTTCCCCACACATAAAGAGAGGTTAGTCATTGTAGATTATCATGAAGATAATCAAGGAGATGTGTATAAAAGCTAATGTGGCACATGGCAATGCTTCATCCATATGCACAGTGATGGTGGTGATCATCAGTGTGGCTGCTGGGCTGCCCCTATGGAGGAGAAAGGACATCATTCCACCTGGCTTCAGAAAGAAGAACAGGACCAGTGATCAGAAGCAAGAAAAAAAGAGAGAATGTGGGTCCATATAAAGAGACCTTTCAAATTATCCAAATGTCTGGAGGTCTGGAGGGAGTTGAGGGGGCTGCATCTGATAAAGAGTGGGAACTCTCTGCAGCCCAAAGGCAGCACCACGGATCTCTTTTTCTTCCTTCAAAGCTACTAATAACATCACAGGGCCCCACCCTCATGACCTCATCTCATCCTGGTTACCTTCTCAAGTCCCCACCCCTTAATTCTGTTACAGTGGCAAATAACTTTCAACATGAGTTTGGGAAGAGACCTTCAAACCTTAGTAGTTGGCAAACTTTAGAGTGTATAGTAGATTTTTTTGTCATATGATTTTGACTTTACTTTTCTCACAATAATCAAGATAAAGGGTATGGACTTTGTAGTCAAATTCTCCACATTTGAATCCCTGCTCTGTTATTTCTTAGTTGTAAACTTGGATAATATAGTTCATCCAGTTGGTTCTTCCAAAACATAGTAAGTTACCCACAATCCTAAGGAATGAGGATCAGAGCTAATACATTTCTGCTGTGTTGGTAAGCATTATGCCAAGGTGGGCTGACACTAGAGGCTATATATATGAGATATACAAGGCTTTTCATGCCTGGTGAGAAATCTAGTGGTAGAGATTGGTTGAATAAAGACACTCTGCAAGTTTATGTGTCAAATTTATACTTACAATTCAGATATGAAAGACAGGCAAATTCTTAAAGACTTCCAAAGACAGGCAGGATAAAATAAGAGGGAAAAGAGGGAATAATAATTTTTATTCTTGTCTTTTTTTTTTTTTTGTACCAGGAATTGAACCAAAGAGCACTTAACCATTAAAGCCCTTGTGTGTGTGTGTGTGTGTGTGTGTGTGTGTGTGTGAGTGTGTGTTGCTGGGGATTGAACTCAGGGTCTTGTGCATGCGAGGCAAGCACTTCACCAACTGAGCTATATATCCGCAGCCCAAGTCTTTTTTATTTTTTATTTTGAGACAGGGTCTCTCAAAGTTGCTGAGGCTGACCTTGAACTTGCAGTCCTCCTGTCTCAGTCTCCCAAGCTGTTGGGATTATAGGCACGCACCATTGAGCTGGGCTTTTTTTTTTTTTCCTTTTGCTTGTTGAGTATATACTCTGTTAAGTTCTGGAATCGATATTCCTATACATATTTATAGTGATTAGGAAGGGGCAGAATTGATGGTAATGAGGTTGGAATGGAGAACTGTTTGGCAATTAACTTGGGAACTATCCCTAGAGCATTTCTAGACCCACTGAAATCTTGTGCTGTCTTCCCCAGAGCTGACTCAGGACTGGCTCCCCATCTCACTATAGTGGTTAAAGCATTAGACCTACTTAAGATTTGGTTTCTGACAATGGCAGGGTGGTAGCTGAAAAGACCCCCCTCCCCCACACACACTTCTAGAACACCTTAGGTTGAAGTCCACTGGCCTTTTCTGTCTGTCCCCAGTGTGACGGAGTGGAGGTGGACCTGAGCAACATCTTCCTTGAAGGCATTGCCATTCTCAACATTCCCAGCATGTATGGAGGCACCAATCTCTGGGGAGAGACCAAGAAGAACAGGGCTGTGATCCGGGAAAGCAGAAAGAGCATCACTGACCCTAAGGAACTGAAATTCTGTGTCCAAGGTAAGCCAGACATGAGGACAGTTGCTCTAGACCATGTCCCTGTGGAAGGTGGGCCAGCAAAGCATCTCAGGACCTATAGCAGGCTCTTCTGTAAGGTCTGACAGCCCACCAAGGACCTGGTACCCTGGGAGTGTGGTGACCCATCATCCCTGGTGTTGCAAAGCTTACAACCTAATTGAGAAAACAAAATTTCTAATAAGGGGGGGACTGATAGTTATCAAACCAAGGGACTCCGTAAGATTAGATGTCAAACGCTGCTCCTGTAGTTATCAGAGTTCTCCAATGTCCATATCCAAAAGTCAATTCTCAGCCCTCATTTCACTTCACCTTCATTCAAACCCCACGGATCACCCCCTTGTCCTGGAAACACTTTGTATACTTGGCTTCGAGGACTCCACTTACTAGTCACTCCTCTTCATTCCCTGTTCTCTTGGCCTTTTGATGCTGGAGGGTCCCCAGGCAGGATCCTAGATCCTCTTTTCTGTCTGTACTTGTTTCCTTGGTGACTTCATCCAGTTGTGAGGCTCTATTTAAATATCCCATGTGTGCCCATGATGACTCCAAGCCAGTCTGGCCTCCTGATGTGTCCTGCATCCTTTCCTGCACTTCCCTGGAGAGGATAATGGACATAGCAAGCTCCATGTGTTCGAGGCTGAACTCCTCTGTCTAGCCCATCCTGTGGTAACTCCAGCCTCCATAGCCCTCTAGTCAAAGCATTGGCACCACCTTCCATGCCTCTTTTGTGTGTGTGTGCATGTGTGTGTGTGTGTGTATGGTGCTGGAGATTGAACCCAGGGCCTTTGCATGCAAAGCAAGCAGTCTACCAACTGAGCTATATCCCCAGCCCCCTCCATGCCCTTTTTACCTCACATCTCACACCCAGTCCATGAGAAAACCTACGAGCTCAACTTTTCAAAAACATCAGGGTCCAGCCACTTCTGAGCCACTACTTTCTGTGTCCTGTATGACTGACTACAGGTCCTCTGCTCCTCCCTGAGCTGAACACAGTCTGTTCTCACCACCACACCAGAGATCCCTGTAAAAACATTAGATTAGGACACTCATCTGCTCAAAATCATGCTGTGGCTGAATAAAAGGCTAAGGTCCTACAGTAGCCAATAGGCCCATATTGTCTGGCCTTCCACCACCTTCCAGACCCCATCTTCTGGGACCCCTCCTTCACTTTCCCTGGCTCCTGTACATAGTGGGTTGCTTCCATGAACCCATTATTCATTCACTCTAGAAAAACCAGGCAGTATACCTCAGAGGCCACCTGCTGGGCCCTTTGATTGTAACCCACCAGAATACAGAAAGTGCCCTTAAGATGACTTTCACTCCAACCCCTTATCGGCTACCTCCACAAAGATCTGAACAGAGATTCAGGCTAAACTTCTGGCACCTTGGTTCCTCTGTCAACTGTTGGATCTTCCTGGGTTCTCAGTGGCCTGGGGAGCCCCAGGAAAGAGACCATGTTGCTGGTGATCCCTGCCAGCAGCCGGGGAACTGAGTTCTAGTCCAAGTGTTGCTACCAGTCTAGTTATTGGCATCTCAGATTTCTTTGCTGTGAAATCTACTTCTCATGTAAACCTTTGATAGCTGGATAGATGGGGTTGAACTAGATCACCAGTTCTGAATCCCGGCCTTCCTGTTGAAAATGACCTTATCCATCTCTGGGTTGGTTCCTAGGAATCTAGGTTTGTCTTGTGCTCCCTGGATGACCCTGGTGGGCTGCCAGGTTTGAGAACCACTTATAGAGACAGACACATGCCCAGAGTGTTTTCTAGCGTTCTGTGTTCTCTGATGTCCCAGGATATAATTGCTAAGGTTGGATGTAATCCCACCAGTAGGAGACAAAGCTTGGCTGACCCTCGGAGGGTGGGGTTCCTTGCTTCACACCCATCTTAGACAATCAGGTTGTTATATTCCAGGGCGAGGTCATCAAGAAATATCATCTCCACACTTTGTCCTTTAAGAAGACTCAGGAATTTTTGTTTCTGTTGCCCTCTTAAGGCCCTTTTCTTTGGCAAAATAAACTTTTCAATTTGTATAAATTATTAAACAGAATAATGCATTCCTTCTTCCTCCCTTGGCAGGGGAAGTTGTGGGTGCTAGCAGAGGGTGGGGGAAGCACTGGAGATTGTAGAACGTTCCTGCAAATTTTCCCACCCTGGTGATCTCAACCCCCATACTGGCATCCAGCCCTGTCAGAACAGAGAAGGGAGTGAGCATAGCAGAGCCCTCCCCTCTTCCCACCCCAGGGCTTGGGGAAGCGTCTGAGGTCAGGTTCTGGTTAGGACTCAAGGTCAGCCTTCATCTTCCCCTTAAATGTCTGATCTTTAAGTGTCTGATATTCATCTTCCCCTTCTTCAAGAGAGAGTGAAGTATCTGCTGATCACTCTTGACCGTTATGTACAGGAACTCTCTTCCACAAATCCCCCTTTCCTACCCCCAAAAATGTGCTTTCAGGGCTAAAAATGAAGCCACTTCCTGTTCTTTAGATGAAGACATGAGCTGATCAAAGTGGAGGCCAAGGAGGGGCCCTGGCTTCTGGGCTTTGCAGAGACACCAACCCTAAGCTTCCTTCTTATAAGGGCCATGATCTCATATAAGTTGAGTTGCTAATGGGAAAAGCTAACAGCACCTATTTTGGTGGAAAAGCATTGACCTGGGAGTTGGGAGATCCAGGTTCCAATCCAGACTCTGCCTCTTACCATTGTGTGTGACCTTGGGTGCATCCCATCACCTTCTTGGATCTCAGTCTTCTTCTCTGTGAAATAAGTCTAGCAATCACTGATCAGAATTGAAGTATAGTCATATTTTGGTCAACATGGATTTGGGGGACAGAAGTGTATACAATTTTTTTTTCTTCTTTCCATGACTTTTACCCCAGGATTTATAGGCTGGGAGGGAGCTCTCTCTCTGCAGGGTCTTCATTTGTTAGGATTTCTTCCTCCTTGGAAGTTTCACTGGGACTGGAGGAGAGGGAGAAGTCAGGAGAGAATAATGGGAGTGAAGGATGTGCACACAGGAGGTGGAAGAGGGAATGGCCTTAGAACAGGTTGCGGTCAGGTCTCTGATAGTAGATCTGTCTTTTTCGGAAAAAAAACATTCGAGTAAGAAAGTCATGGAATGTGTTCTGTAAACTCATTGGCTGGTGGAAAAGCAATAATGCACACAGAGAAGCACCCGGCTTGCAGCTGGATAACCTGGGTTTAATTTTTGGCTTTATGCTTTCTATTTATAAAAGCTTGGAAAGTTAGATTACATCCCTGAGTCTCAGCTTTGTCATCTATAAAATAACCATGAAAATATCTAGCTTGTTATGAAGCTGGTGCATGTAAAAGCCTGGACCACAGTATAAGCTCAAACTTTGGGGAAAAAATTTTTTTCTCCTCCTCTTTAATTCCACTTTATTTTTTTAATGAATTAATTTATTTAAAAAATATATATGTATATGTATATACACCACAAACACACACACACACACACACACACACACACGGGATTTAACCCAGGTATGCTTTAGCACTAAGTCACATCCCCAGCCCTTATTTATTTATTTATTATTTTTAATTTTGAGATAGGGTCCCATTAAGTTGCTTAGGGCCTCACTAAGTTGCTGAGGCTGGCTTCAAACTTGTGATCCTTCACATCAGCCTCCCAATTCCACAGGATTATAGGCATGCACCCAGCTTTAATTCCATGTTAGGAATTTTACCTGGCTTTAATTCCATGTTAGGCTGAAGCATGCCAGTCAATTTCTGGCTTTGAATTTCATGTCTTTAGCATTATAATCTACCTACATTGCCACTAGGAAACAGCAGAGCTCCTGCAAACCAACCCAACTTTTGTCCTAGCTTATTAAACTTATACCCCTCAATTGTAATTACTGTTTCCTTTTCTAGACTTTTCAGATTCCAAAGATGGAGGCCGGGGGCATTAATCTTTGTCTCTCCAGTGGCCACCCCAAGCAGTTACTCAAAAAAAGAAAGAATATTAGATGAGTGAGCACATGACATGGGTTATTTTTAGTTTTTGAAACAACAAAAATAGTGTGAAGTAATCTTTTGTTTTTATATTTCATTGTGGCTTGCAAATAATTTTGCATGAATTAGTTTAATATAATCCTAACCAGAAGCCCATGAGTAATGTCATACCCAGCCAATTTCATATCCCATTTCGTAATTGGGAAAAAACAGAAGCCCAGAGAAAGGGCAGGACATATGTAATTTATGTCCAGGGATAGAATCAGAACCAAGACCCTAGCCTAATCTCCAGTGGCTAGTATCCATCTAGAAAATTTATTAGGCTACTGAGTGTAACGCAAACACCATCTCTCAGAAATAGGAAGCATTTAGACCCAGTCCAAAGAAAAATTCTGCATCTATTTTTTGAAATTCTACTCCTCTTGCAAGGCGAGGTCTAAGGGCCATCTCCTCCTGGAGCCCCAGAAGTGAAACCAGCCTCTAAATTCTTACAGCACTGGCTTTTGCCTTCCATCTCACCAGCACACTGATCATGGGTTGCCCTGTATCAGAGGCAGCCAGAGATGTGTATCCTCACACTTCTCCCCAACCCATCCCTAGAAAAGGTGTTTGTCACCTGTGTCTCTTTCCAAGCCTACCACCCGGGCTCACAGTGCTCTATAGAAATGTCTGTTGGAGGGAGGGAGAAAAGGGAAGGACTCTTGCCTTCCTTCTGCCAGCACTGTGCGCATGCGTACAGCAGATCTGGAGCAGGACAGTAAAAATAGGAAATGAAAATTTGGGAGGAGAAGAAGTCTTAGGAAGAGTTAACCTGTGCATATTTGTGAGGTTAAGAATTTAGTTTTGTTACCGCTGTTGACCGGTGACGAGTCCTTGCTTCCCCAATGTTGAAGAATAACACCAGAGAAGCATGCCGAGGCAAGGTCAGAGTGGAAAATTAGAAGTTTATTAAAGGACAGCAGAAAAGACTTCTCCCGGAGGAAGAAGGGGACCCAAGAGATGGAATCCGTGGAA